GGAAGGGGAAGGGGAGCGACTAGTCCTTAACATCCCTCATTCATATTATTTAAAATATTCTATATAGAATTTATGCAGGACTCAGTCATACAGCTTATTATAAGTTTAGACTAACAAATTGTCATAACTTCAGACTTTAAAAAGGTAATTTTTAAAAAAGGAAAAACGTACATAAAAGTGATAACCTAAAAAAGTTGTATCAACTTGTATTTACCATGACAAGCAGTGTCCTTTGTCAGGCTCATCAAACATCCACAGCTTCTTCAAAGACAGAAGCTGCACCCCCTTTCAGAAAGGGAAATACTGCTGCTGGGTGAGGCAGGTTGCCTGAAGGATACCCTGAGTGTGGTCCTACTAAGAAAACCATAACATTCCCCTGCCCAATCCAACGGCACACACATTACCCCAACCCCTACGCTGCTGTAACTGCTGAAATTTTCAGAGACATGTGAGGGGGCATGCAGCAACCCAGAACTGGTGTGCATAAAGGGAGATAGCCAGCTCCAACCTACGACCCCCCCTCCCCCCCCCCAGTGTTGCTGCTTCTGATACAGAGGCAACAGCACAGGATGGGGGAAGGCAGCTCCACAAGAGCCAGTATGCATTGGGAGTTGGCTACCCCGAGAGCCCTGCACATACCAGCTCACACTTGCTCCCTCCCCTACCTCCCACTATTGTCTCTGATACAGAGGCACCAGCACAGGATGGCAGGCAGCTCCCATGCATACCTGGAGCCTGCATGTAACAATGCACGTTAACTCATGAGCCTGGGCTCATCAGTTAACTGTGTACGCTGTTAAACTTCCACATCCAAAATTTGTATAGAGGCAATATTTTCTGTCATCTTATCTATTACTTTCTTAATGATTCCCATACTGTTCGCTTTTTTGACCGTCAATGGAGGTTTTCAGAGACCTATCCACAATGACATCATGATGTCTCAAGTGGTAAGAGCTAATTTAGAACTCATCATTCTATACTCAGTTGGGATTATATTTTCCAATATGCATTACTTAGCATTAATCACCACTGAATTTCATCTGTCATTTTGTTGCCTAGTCACACAAGTTTTCTAAGATCCTTTTGAAGCTCATTGTAATCTGTTGTGGTCTTAACTATCTTGAGCAATTTTGTATCAGTAGCAAATTTTATCATTTCAATGATTACCCCTTTCTTCAGATCATTTATGAATACATTTAATAAGATTGATCACCAATACATATCCCTGGGGAATAGGGATATTAAGTAGCGGTTAATTTGCTAATCGAGTAGTTCATTGAATTTCCATCGACTACTCGATAAGGAAGAGCAGTTACAGCACTTACTTCTGGCTGACGTCAAACCTCACCACAATCCCCCACTACTGTTCTGCATTCTTAAAGTGACCAGGAGGAACCAGTGTGCAAAGACGCTGGCTCAATCCTTGGTCCCACACCAGGTCTCAGGACAACTCCAGCTGCTGCTCTGCATTCTTAAAAGGACAGAGCAGCCA